TCGACCATTATAGCATGCTATTACCCGTTCCATTCCTATCAGTCCCGGAGGAACCTTAGACTACTATTCCTAAAGGGGAGGGATATTAGGCTGACTTTAGGTTTCAAAAGGTAAAAAATCTAAGGCGACATACAAAAACACATAGTACTGCCCATTAGGGGAAGCATGTAAACAAATAAAAGGCTCATGTATACATCCTCAAGCAAAACACTTAAATAGCATGACTTAAACATACATTTAGGGTCTGAATTTAAAAATACTAAAGGCGAGGGGAGTTTTAATTATTGAAGCAGACCAGTTTATTACATAATTCAGATAAGAAGTCCAAATCAGGCATGCTTGCTGGTTGTAGCAATTACCAATTAACAAAGGCGGATTCAGTTTTATCGTTGTTATCACCTAAGGCTTGCCTAAGTGTTCGGGTGAGATCCTATAAACATGATATCAATTACTGATTCAAAATGTGGCAAAGCAGTAACTATTTTAAAACAAACGATTTGAGATCCTACAGGCATGCTTTCTAAACCGTATTAACAGAAGGTGAGAGAGTTGTTTAAAAACTAGTTGAGAACAGTATGAATTAGGCTGATTTTAAACTAGATTGGTTTCAGATCCTATAGGCATGATATCTATTATTGCTGATTTAATTCCTATAAACATGATATCTAGTTGAACATGTAATGAAGCAGGCAAAATTTACTCGCAATTCCTATAGGCATGATTTCTATAAAAGGGTACTGATTTTAAACTACTAGATATGATGCCAGATGATAACCAGTTAGATCCTAAGAACATGGTATCTCAGTGTGGTAATGCAGAATCTAAGACAAGTCCTCTAGACAGGTTCTCTAAATGTAGAGTTAAGCATGCAAAATTTAAACGAGTCCTATAGACATGTTCTCTAAATGCAGAGTTAAGCATGCAGAATTTAAACGAGTCCTATAGACAGGTTCTCTAAATACAGAGTTAAACATGCAGACTTTAGGTCCTATAGGCATATTCTCTAGATATGGAACATGCAGAATTTTAGTGAAAACAGATCTTATAGGCATGATATCTAAATTGCTGAGTTAAATATGCATAATTTTAGGTCCTATAGGCATTATATCTACCCTTAAGCATGCACAATTACCCAGCCCTTTTCACTAGATTTAATATAAATTATTACAAACTGAATAATGAATTACATCAGAAAAGTGTTAAAAAGAAAAAAATTACAATCAGAGGAAGCCTGATTATTGACTTCCTTTCTGAGTTATGGAATAAACCACCTCAAATGCCATTTGTTTCAAAGCCTTTCTCAGACCTGGGTGTGTCAAAGTTCCCTAAGGGTCTCAAGGGACCCCGGCAGTGCTTACACCCAAGTTTGCATAACCAGACATGAATGAGTGCAGTGTGGAAGGACTAGCCCTTATGTGTCCCAGTTCAGAGGGAGCTCATGGATCCCAAGGCAAGGCTCACACAAGAGGGGTAGAACCTAAGTCTAAGAATATGGTGGAAGTGCAGGAACAGAGAGTTGTTTAAAACTGGATTGAGAATAGTAAGGGGTAAGGGTAATTTGAAAAACAATAGTAATAAAGTTAACACTACAGAAACAACATTTTGATACAAAGGGGTCAGGGGTTTAGGAGTTCATTACAGGGAGCATATGACCCTAGGAGGGGGTCAGGATTTGGACATGCACAATAATAGATGATGCTGGCATGTCCATAAACCAGCCAGAGAATATAACACAAAAAGGGGATATGAAGGATATGACCCTAGGGAGGGTCAAGTTTGGGTCATGCACAGCAATGTCTAATACTGACATGCCCTCAAACCAACCAAAGAATAAAAACACATAGGGGATATGGGGGTTTGGGATTCATAAGTCATAATAAGTGACTGACAGAATTCATACATAAGGAAAAACATTAATTCAGAAGGGAAAGGGGTAGTTTACAACATGCTTAATAATGGAACTTGATTAAACATAAGCATGAAACAGGCAAGAGTGCAAGAAATAGTAAAGAAACATGTTGTTATTGATGCTGAAGATTAATTAGAACATACCAGTAAAGAAGCAAATGCAGAAAGAAAGTAAGCAAATTTCTCCACAACCTAGCCTTGGCTTTCAGCCGGCTAGGTTGGGTAGCAACACAAGTAGTAACAGAGAAAAGAGAGTTTTGAGTGAAGTGTGTGTTCTGAACTCAAGTGTTTGTGTCTTTGAAAGAAGAGGGGTGCATGGTATTTATAGTTTTGAAAACATGTGAGAAATAAGGTAATACGTAAAGTTTCAACACAAATATGGAAATAACAACAGTCAGAATCAATTAACCAAGTGATTCCCCTTTAATCAAGAGATCACTTGTTTAACAGGGGTAACAGATTCAAAAAATAAGGAAAGACGAATCAGTTTGTAGGCAGACTGATTATTGCCATAAAAGTGGTAGTAAAAGCATTAAGTAAGCAATCAGGTCTAAGTACAGAAATATGCTTATTTTGGGAAAGGATTCAGTAAGGCAAAATATCAAAATAAAGGAAAAGAATCAATTAACTTTAAATAGGCGAGTGAAATTAGAGTTCATAAAAGAAAAGTTCTGAAATCAGTCACAAGATCAAGATCAATCAAGGAAGTAACATGCTTCTGCACTTTAGTATTTAAACAGAGTGAGTAGAGACACCAGACATACGAGGCTAAACCTATTGGCAAAAGAAACAACATACAGAAATAGGCATAAGGTCCAGTAGTAAAGCAAACATTCGAAGCATAGTAATCGAGTAGGTCAAGTCACATTGAGTCAACAATGTAGAAAATAAAGTATCAGAAACATGCAAAGGTCTCACAGTAGCAGATGAGAAAATCTTTTGAAAAGTTAGGGTTTCAAGCATAGTCGAGTTTTAAAGATAATAAAACCCAGAATCAGAGGAATCACATAAAGAAAAAGAGATTCTGAAACAAGGAACTTCAAATCGAGTCAGGTATTCAAACGAACAGTTTCAGACCCAAGACATAGGTTTTTGCAACAATGGTCGAGCATAAAAAATGATAAACAAATAAATTGAACAAAAACTTAACCAAACAAGCACTCATCTAACAAACAGCCAAAAGAAATTAGGGTTTTTTAAACATGCTAACTCAGATAGAAGAACAACATGAGCAAAACATAGCAAGATCAGAAACATGTTAAAATCAGAGAATAGATTTTGAAATAACATAAAAGAACCCTAATCGGAAAAGATAAAGATTCTTTTTTTAGAGAAAAGTTAATGAAACTTCGAGAAAATGCTTAAAAGTTCAAGGCAAGCACAGATCTATGGTAGAGCTAAAAGAAATCGAAAAGATCTTAGAGATTAGGGTTTCAGAAAACCCAGAAAAGGTGAGAAAGGTCCTGAAATTTACCGATCTAACCAGGAGAGTCAAGGATCTGACTCGAGAGGCCATGGTTGGCCGGAGAAAGGTTAAGGATGACCGGAGAAGAGCCATGAACTGAAATCGAACAAAGACTGGACCAGACTCCTTCAAGGTCTGGCCTTGAAACCATAAGAACAAATACATAGAAGCCATGGAAGTTTGGTATATGCCTCAAATGACCACGGAAGGCCATGGATTAGGTAGGTATTAGGGTGGGGTGAGAGGGCGGCGGTTACGGTTCATGAGAGTTTCCGAGAGAGTTAAGAGAGGAGGGGGTTTCAAGGGCGGCGGTAGGTGGGAAGTGAATTAGGTTAAAGGGTTGGTTTGGGTTTAAAATGGTAAGGGCAGTCGGTGGCCGTTGATCTAAATGATCAACGGCTGGGATTTGAAGGGTTAGGTGGGGATCCGGGTTTGGGTCGGTTTAACTTGAAATTGAGTCAGGGTAAATTGGGTTCAAATTGGGGTTCAAATTAGGCTGAAATTGAAATAAAATCTGGCTAGATTTTAAATAGCCATTTTCCCCATTTATGTTATAAAAATAGCAAATTAAATTCTGAAAATAAATTGAAAGTAATAAAATGATTTATAACATATAATTATAAATTTAAAAATACTGGACTTAATTTTTATAACCATAAACACAATTAAATCTTAAAGGAGGCCAATATTGCAATTATATGCAATTTTACTTTAAAAAATACTAAATAAATTTATAAAAACATGCGAAAATTATCTTAGCTATATTTTAGCATAAATTTAAAAGTCCAATAAACGAATTACCAAAAATAATAATTTTGGAAATAACTATTGGGCTTTATGGATAAAAAATAGAGAAATAAATTGGTTTAAAACCTTTAAAAATTAAGGAAAATAATAAAACACTTGGACATACTTATATATGCATATACATGTTATTTTGAAGGTATTTTCATATTACAAAATATATAGGAAAAAATTGGATATCAACAGATAGTTAACATAATTCAAATCCATGAGCAGTTCATTCATTATCTAGTGAATGATCCAGTAACTGGTTATCAGATTATGTTGTGTATGCTAGGAACAAGCTGCAGGGAAGGGCAAGTCTATGGTATGATTTGTAATAGATAGGGGGTAGATTCAAATTCACTGGCTCATAAGTGGTGATTTCAATAATGTCCTAACCACAGATGATAGATTAGGACAACCAGTTACTGTGAATGAGGTTCAGGAGATCAACAAGTGTATTGATAACATGTAACTGACCCCATTGAGGACACAGGGTTGTTTCTTTACTTGGTGTAATACGCAAAGTGCAAATGATAGAGTTTACAGTAAGATTGATTGGGCTTTTGGCAATTTTGAATAGACTAAAGATTATAGGCATGTAGAAGCTGAATTTTTAGAACCTGGACTGTCAGATCACTCACCTATCTTGGTCCAAATATGGAAAAAGAGTACTATATATCTCAAGCCATTCAAATTGTGCATGGTAACAATGGAGCACAAGGAGTTTAAGCTTATGATAGATAGAATTTGGAAGCAGAAGCTGGGAAATGATCCTATGACTGGTATCTCATAGAAGTTACAAAAGCTAAAAACTGAGGCTAGAGGTCTAAACAAGGAGATGGCTAGCTATGAGCAAAGATTGACTCAAATAAGACAGAATCTGGAGTGTACTCAGGCCAATTTGATAGTTAATCCTTTCAATCAAGTGTTGATAGAACAGGAAAAACAGACTCTGCAGGAAATAGAGAAATGGAGTATCATAGAGGAGAGAATACTAAGGCAGAAGGCTAAAGTAACCTGGATTGATTATGGGGATTCAAACTCCAAATATTTCTATGCACAACTGAAGATTAGAGCAAGCGAGAACAAAATTACTACTGTGTATAATGATTTGGGAGTTAAGATCACTGACCCTAAAGCTGTAGAAAAAGAATTCACATGTTTTTTCAAACAACTTATAGGAAAAGCTACTGGAATAAAGCCATGTCCTAATACTAGATTCATCAAAGCAGGAGAATGCCTATCAATACAACAACAGCAGGAACTAATACAGGACATAACATATGCAGAAGCAGATGAAGCAGTGAAAGACATGCCAAATGATAAAGACCTTTATGTGGACTGGTTCAACAGATTGCTGAAGGAAAGCTTTGATTGCATGGGACAAGATATGTCAACCTAGAGCTACTGGAGGTTTGAATGTCATAAATATGAAGATATGGAATAAAGCAGCATTACTAAAACATCTCCGGGCATTGGCAATGAAGAAAGATACACTGGGGATCAAATGGGCATACCGTTACTATATAAAGAACAGAGATATTGCAGAAATGAACACACCCAAAACAGTAGCATGGGTGGTCAGGAAAATCATAGAGGTAAGGGAAGATGTGAAGCAGATGAGGCCAGTTCATAACAGTCTTATATCTACACTAGAGAGCTTAGTGAAGCCAGGCAAGTTCCAAATACATAAAGCTTATGTTTAGATGCAGCCTCAATTTCCAAAAGTTGTTTGGAAAAGCATTCATTTACATACACATATTCATCCTAGATTGAAATTTCATCTATGGTTGGTTATTCATCAAAGGATAGCAACTGTGGATAGACTCATTAAGTTTGGAATTCAAGTTCCATTAGAATGTGTGTTCTGTGCAAACAATATGGAAACTTTTTATCATTTATACTTTGGTTATCCAAAAACTAACAAGCTATGGGACAAAGTATTGAAATGGCTGGACATTGCAAGGCAGATAGGAAGCTAATGAGCAGAGTTGGATGAGCAGTTTGGCAAAAAGGAAAAATTGTAAAGCAATGATGAGTACAACAGTTTTCGCGATGGTTGTCTACTGTATTTGGCGCGAAAGGAACTCGATTAGATTCAACAAAGGCAGATATAACGTGGATGATCTATGCAAGGAAATTGCTATACATATGCACATACAAGGGAGGAAAAAGACGAAATGGCGAAAAGAATTGGAGAGTTTAAACAATTTTCCTTAGTATAGTTTATAGTTGATTGAAGTTAGCGTAGTCATAGTGTTAAACTTTGTAATAGTGAATAGGAGATTAATGGCATTAATCTGGATATGTAAAGACAATTTTTTTGATGAAATAAAATGTTAGTTTTATCAAAAAAAAATTAATTTTCACCATCCAAATGGATTTGGTTTGTTGAACTAATATTTGAGTCACAATTTTTAAAAAATTAAATAGTAATTTCTAGAACCTATTGGAGTTGGATGTTGAATCTTAGCCTATTATTTTTAGGCTAGTTGGTTGTAAATTGAAATATGGGCTACAAAATTGAAAAGCGGGGAGGTAAGTTGTTCTTATGTGAAATTTTCCCTAAAATCAACCCTAATGATAATGCCTGATGTAACACAGCTAGGCCGAAAGCTTGTTTCACAAAGTGGTTACAGCTACAAAGAAGGCTGCTAACAGCTGACCGATTGACACGCTGGGGGATAGAAGCAAAACAAACATGTTCAGTTTTGCCAGAACCTATATGAATTACATGAGAATCGGTTTGTCCACTGCCAGTTCTCAAGGGACCCATGGAACAGAATTCTCCAATGGATCAAGAGGCAGAGATTTCTTGTCACTAACTGGGACGAATATGGTCAATGGAGTATCAAAAATGGCATTGGGAAATCACAGGCAGCTCAACTCTTCAGAATGGTATTTGCAGAATGCGTGCATTCAATTTGGATCGAAAGAATTTGAGTGTTTGAGAGGAAGAGCAAAAGTGTGGAACTTGTAGCTAAGGAGATATCCTATATATGTAATGCCCGAGCTTCATGTAGAATTATATCTCTTATCCATAACCTAAAGTTCCAAGACCAAACGTATGTTTAGGCTTGAGTTTATGCTGTTGTACGGTTGAAGACTCTAGCAAGCTGTGTGAGCTTAGCTATTCTCTGTAAATATTCCTCTCGTAATTACTAAACTTGTTAGTTACCAACAACAACAAAAATAATCATTTAGGAAGATAGCAGAATATCCATGGTTCGCAAATAATGATAAGAATATTACTTGAACATGTAATAGTTTTTTCTGTTTTTGAAAAGGCATGCTTCTTACATGAATACTTATGCCTCGAAAAAATTGGCATCAAGAAATTTTAATGCAACACATACAAGGCCAGCAAGAAGCTAAATGGCAGCAAGATCAAACCATGTATGTCATTCCCACCTGGATAATATTCATGTGAGGAACACGCATTGTTGCAGCGCCTCCTCTACAGTTCTTCCTCATGAATGCATAGAAGTAATTTATTGACAGTTTCTTGATGAACCAAGAGTTTTTCTTCGCCCTCACGTCCCCATGTCCAAGCAAATATGTAAATCCAGATTCTGTGGCTTCTCGAAGAGCAGAGAGCTCATATTCCAAACTAGGATCTTCATCCACCGACATAACACTAGCTGGCAATGCCATAGATGCTTCTGATGTTGATGCCCCTGCGTCTAATCTTTGATCACTCATTAAAGGAATCTTAAGCTCGTCCATTCCATCACCATCCTGTATTTCAGATTCATCCCTGGACTTGACGGAAATGCTATCAAGATCCTGTTGAATCAGGTTGCTTTCCAAAGCAAGATCCAGGGCCTCCTTTCTTAGAAACTTCTCAAGGCTATCCACCAAAAGTTGCTCAAACGCATGATGATCTTCTTTTCTGACATCCTTATAGCCATATCTAGCTACACAACGGAACATATGATAGTCCTTCGGACCAACCCTTCGAAACAAGAACCTTTCATCCTGAGGGACAATAGGTACTGGCACATACTTGATGCATACAAAGACTATCACAGAGTGAATAGCTGGGAGGTCCAATAGGAACTGTCCCAAAATAGAGGGAATGCCTTGAACCAGCTCATTGTATAGTAAACCTATCCCTGGTACTCTTACAGTCCCAAGAGAAGAGCCAAGCTCATGCATGAAATCCATTGAAATCTTCTGCTTAACCTCACTCTGGTACTTCAAGACGCTCCCATAGTTCCAAAGATACATCACACAGAGGAAGAAAGACGCAAAAACAAGTGGAAGCCAACCACCCTCCAAGATCTTTGATAGAACAGCAGACAGATAAATGAGCTCCATTGTTCCAAATATAAGTGGAAACAAGAAAGCCAGAAACAAATTTGTTTGCCATATCAGAAGCATTACCACTGTGACCAAAGTGGTGCTAACAATCATGACACCAACTTCAGCTATGCCTGCAATAGGAAAGGAAGAGCTTCATGTGAAATATGCTCGAGTAAGTATATCTAATAACGATTCAAGCAAGTACTCCCATCCGTGTTAATTTATATAGCAGTGTTGGAACTAGACACATAATTCAAGGCAGGCACTTGACAATCTTTCTGGAATGGACCAAAAAGAAAGAGTGCCATATAGAATGGAATAGATCAAAATATATTAACTAAGCGGTAAAAATCTTTTGTCTGTTTTAACAAAATCCAAAAAAAAAATTGCGAAAGTGAGGGACCAACCATATGCATTGGCTATGTCTGTCGTGCTCCTGAAGGCAGCAACAACAAGCATGCACATTATCATCAAAAACCAATTAATCACAGGAATGTAGATTTGACCCATGTGCTTCCTTGAGGTGTGAATAATCTTCAACCTTGGGAAGCATCCAAGAGCCATAGCTTGCTTAACACATGAAAATGAAGCAGATATCATGGCCTGACTAGCAATTATAGCTGCAACAGTTGCTATCCCAAAAACTGGCCAGAAAAAACCATCTGTTGTTGACAAAAACTACTACCATCAAAGAAGTGCTTAAAAATAAAAACTGTTCAACATTTGAATCTCTAGAAAAAGGAAGCAGCACAAATATATTTACAAGCTGCCTCTTGGCTATAATACCTGGGACAGAATCATAAAATACTCTGCCATATGAATTTGGGTGTTTCATAAGATAAGCAGCTTGGCCAAAGTAGGCCAAAAAAAGGCAGGGGAACACCACGCTTGTAAAGGCAATCTGCAGCAGTGAACTTACATCAGAATGGAAACAAGTGCTGCAGTAATCATATTTAAGGTTGGTAGATGATACTTTCAGCCAAGGCAAAATAAAGAAAGGAACCTGTATAGACTTCACAGAGAAATGACCTAAATCAGCAAACATTGCTTCTGCTCCTGCAATTATTCATCAAATAGCTTATCAACTCATCAACAACTACTATTATCATGTCTTAATCGCAAACTAGTTGGAGTCGGCAATTGAATCCTCTATATATCAAATAATTCGTGTTTAAATGAAAATTATGAGTTCTCTAAAACTAAACGGTTTCGTAATCCAACACTTAGTCCTACACTAACATAGATATATCTGACCAAACTAAAAAGACTACTGGAAAAAGTAGGTTCTATCGAGATTTGAACTCAAGCTATATGTCCGAACCACTAGACCGCGGTAAGCTCAAACAGCATTTATATCATTAATATTCCAAATCATTTCTCTGGTTTTCCAGATGGATGCCCAGATACATGCATCATAAATGAAATAACACATTGCAAATCAATTTTCAACTCAATAGAAGCATATGCTAGAGCAGTCAGAAAAAGGAACATTCATTGCCTTTGAGAATAGTTTGAATCCTTGTTTCTTATGAATCAAATAATGGATGCTTGCACTCGTCAGAAGACAAGAAGCCAGTAGGCCATCAACTAAAACTTTGCAAATGACTCAATTATCATACTCCCCATTACGCACACAATAAGATAAGTAAAGAAGGGAGCCCCATATATGCTCACATAAATTGAAAACTCAGACCTGTATGCACCAAAATGTTTTAAGAACTCTATACCAAACCAACGGAGAAAGGAACTCCACGTACCTGTGATGCATAAAACACAGCCACCAAGAGCTGACCATCCATTGGTTGAGTTCTTCTTGAAGAACAGATAGATATAAGCTGGATTTAAAGCCCTTAAGACAGTTACATCATGCTTCAGCAGGTTATAAATTCCTATAGACCCCAGACTGAAGAACCACAAAGCAAGGGCAGGAGCAAATGTAAAACCCACTTTGCTTGACCCATATTTCTGTATACTGAATAACGCGCCAAGGATGATAATTGAGGTGATAACAAGAGCATCTGCAAACAACATTAATAGGGTGTTTTAAGTTTGCCACATCTCTTTGTGATGGTCGGACTCGGACATAACAATTTCCATGATATGAATGTGCAGAGAGAGCTTCAAAATATTTTATTGGAGAATATTTAAATCGAAAGCCTTTGATACTAAACATATGCCGAACAGGCAAAATTTTGTGATTCCACTAAGATGTGAAGTGGTGATTTTCCATATCGTAAGGGAACCTTAGTTTCACCACAGTACAACTCATAGCTAGAAGAGGAGTGCAATTTGAAACGACTCAAATCTTTTTGTTGTTGTCTTGGATCCACAATTAATCCTATGGATCCTTAGGATTAATATATTCTTTCCCATCCTGTAGTTTTCCTCAATAAGCCAAGTAGCACAACTCTTTCTACCCATCCCCTATATTGTCCCGTTTGTGCAATTTTTTTGTTTGATTGTTTGATAAGGCCCTTTTGTTCAATGTAATAGAACCTTAATCACTGGTTTGTCAGATTTATATTTATAGTTTTGCCGCAGTACAAGTAAAAGCTAGAAGAGGCTATCTGAAACCAACTTAGCATTTGCAGTACTGCACAAATTTTGGCACTTCACTTCTCAGAAGTAGCTAGTAGCAGCAATTACAAAGAAAACAAGGAAACTCACTTGTGCCAAATCCGGGGATCTTACCCTGCAGCCCACTTACAGCAGACATAACTGCAACAATGAGGATCATTAAGAGACTGGATTGAGTAACAACGAAACACTATCAAACTAGAGAAACTAATTTAGGTGCCAGACAACTTAAAAGCATAGTCATAATTATACCTCAAGGATCTGGTTCACATAATAAAGCTACAAGCCTGTGAAGAAATAGAAATAACTAATGACAAATAATTGCAGAACTCAATGTTTTAGACGACTTCCTTTCTAGATGACTGTTTCTTTATCGAGGACCTGAAGCCTTCACATCACCCACTACCACTACAGCATGTACAAGGTAGTTTAGAGAATCCAAACAAAAGCGTCCATCTTATGCCAGTGATTGAAAGGACAACAAAGTATAGTGAAAAATCAGCTTTTTGTAGATATGTTTTAAAATCAATAATATTATAAGTGACAGCAGAAGATATTCTCCTTTTCTTTTGAGCTAAATGAAAACCATACTCTTCCACCCCC